CATAAAGTTAAGTGACTCAGGTATTTTGCTGTAGTAACATAAAGCTGTCTAATCTGAAGCCACCACTGGAGAGTTTCAAGCATGATCTGACTTTTTACCTTAAAAGAACCATTCTAGCTGCTGTCCTCAGAGAAGACTGTAAGGGGGCAGAGGCAGAAATAAGCAGACCATTAGAAAGTGGCAGTCGTAGAGGCTGACACCAGCTCAGACCAGATCTGTATGGTACTGCTAAAGAGATGCAAAGCAGCCAGAATCCGGAAGTATTCTAGTATTCTCAAAATGTAGCCAGTGGGCTTTACTAATCCACCAGTAGATGGTGTAGGATAAGAGAGAGGAGTCCGGTGGGTCTCTGAGGTTTCTAGGCTGGATAACGAAAGGAGGGTGCTGTCTAATGTGCTGAGCAAGACTGGAGAGCAGCAGGCTGGCACAGGGAGGGGCAGATGAGCAATCAGTTTTCTTTTGGACACATTAAACAACAGCTGCTCTTCAGAGGTCAAAGGAGAGATGTAAAATAAGCATTTGGATGTGAGTCTAACATTTTGGGGAGAAATCCTGCTGAAGACTTAAATTTGGAAGCCATGAATGCAGCAATGCCATTTAAAACCAGGAGATATTTTATAATTCATGTACCTTAAAATTTGCTGGGTGAAAATATTAACTCCCAAATTAATGTTTAGACTCACTGAATTGGTAATTTTCCCTTGCCACCACCTTACTAATTTACAACCAAATGAGTTGGTATTCAATGACTAGCAGTATTCATCATAGACTCTCAGACATCTCAGAGCCAGAGAGACTCAAAGATAAATTAATACTCATTTCTACAGATGGACAAAGTCCCAAAGAATTTCACTGACCTGCTCAAAAGGATCCAGCTTCCCTCCAAATGGTTTCTTGTTCTGAATAAGTAACTGTGACTCAAGAAAGGACAGAAAAGTTCTGCCTGGTTGTTGACTATACAAATAACCTCATCTCCTTTGAATGTAGCTAAGAATCAGGAGTTAAAATAGGTCTCTGGGTAAAAACAGGCAGTCATCACACCATGTAACTAACTTGGTTATATTTCTAACAAAGCCTGCCATGTTTGTTCTGACCCGAAACATGGGAATAAAAGTACAGAGGTCTTGGGCCAGATGTGCAGAGGCTCACAAAGGGCACATTATTAGCATCTTAGGGCATCCCTGTACACGAGGGCAAGACAATACTAAGTTGGGGCGAATACATAGTAATACCAACAGAACTCTTTTTTTTATCGCTTTGTTCTAGATACTACCCTGAATATCTTGTGGACTTCATTTCTAATCCTTACAACAACCCTATCAATAGTACTATTCCCGTTTTTCAGGTGAAACAGAGGCCAAAAAGGTTAAGTATCAGAATCATGATCATGATCATATCAAACTAGTACAGACAAGATCCCACATCTGCCTGAATTCAAGGTCAGTATACTTTAAACTACATCATAATCACAAGTGAAGGTGAAATGAAATGATATTCTACCTTCTCTTTGTGAGATGCTAGGGGAATTATCTACAGCAAATATTATCTAAAATGCCTAAAATCTTAAACTTTGAATACCTGGAGAAAACTCATACCTTCATGGTAGATAAAACAAAGAGCATTATAAAAATAATGATACAGCATATAGCCAGGCATGGTAGTACACACTCATAATCCCAGTACTGGAGAGGCTAAAGCAGAAGGACTGCTGCAAATCTGAGGCCAGCCTGGGCTACATAGTGAGACACTATCTCAAAAACCAAAATAATAATAATAATAATGACACAGATAAAGACTGGCTTCTATGCAAAACAGAGAAACAATACTTTCCTACTTAGGGAGAAGGATGTTCTACTTAGTGGTACATTCCTGTGGTCTAGCTACTAGAAAGGCTGGAGGTAAAGAACCCTGACCCTGGGACTGAGAGTCAGCCCCAGCAGCACAAGACCCTCCTCAATGTTCAACACAACAGGTTCTTGAAGACATTTTATTTTTTTTTTTGTAATGGGTATCAAACTCAGGTCCTTGTGCTTGCAAGGCAGGTGGCGGAACCACTGAGCTAAATCCCCAGCCCTTGAAGACATTATTTTAAATAAAACTGAGTTGAGGAAAAGAAAATACTGAGTCAAAAAATACATTAAAAAAAGGGGAAAAAATGTAAAACCTGCATGTCAGCTTTGTATCTGAAAACCTCTGAAATCACTTCCCATATCTTATTATTCAATTTAGAATATTACATGTTTAAAAATCAGAATGGCACTTGAATTAAATTGAATTGAAAATGACAAATGGGAAAGACAATAGAATAAAATATATAAATTACCTTGCAATTTAGTCATAAGATTAAACTTTCTTCTTCCATCCTAAACCAAAGTTCACACAAGTAATAAAAGTGGATTAGTTTCAATTTCTTCCCCACTAATCTGGCAGACGGAGTACCAAAGCATTTCACACATGATGGATATCCAAGAAATACAAGGATGATGGTAGTGAGAATGTTAATTCCAAAAAGGCAAACACAGAGAGAAGAAAATGATAAAATCCATTCCAAACAAACAAAGAATGCTTCCTACCCCATCACACCCACTGTAATGAATAACAAAACAGCTTATTACTTTGGGAGAGAAAGTAGAAGACATCCATTCCAACACTGAGGACTTGCCTTCCACAAACAGATGCTTTATCTGCCCCTGCTTCCTCTTTGCTAGCAGGAAGGTTGTTATGCTCTCAGTACCAGCTGAAGACAGGCAAAAAAAGGCCTTGACAGTTTTACTGTCTTAGAAAAACTCACAGCCCACACATAGATGCTTCCTAGAGACGTGGCTCTATCCTCTAGAGACTTCAAAGCTCACTGCTGAAGGACTTAACAGTGAGAAAAACAGTAACTGCAATCACAAGAATCAGACTCTCCATCTGCTTATCTGAAAACTCACTGCTGAAGGAATTTCCAATAAGAAAATAATTCAGGCAAGCCGAGAATTTCAGAGTTTCTTAATCTAGATGCTATGGTTTGTGTCTAGATGTTCCCTCAAAGCCTCATGCGTTCAATAGGGAGTTCTCAGAGGTGGCTGAGACTAATGTGTGACACTGGGATTAAAGGTGTGTGATTACTAAATCTGTCCAGATTCCATCCTAATCCCAGTATTCTAGATGAGATAAAAGGTGCAGAAAGAACTGTTGGGGTCCTCTGCAAAGACACCCCTCTGCCATGTGCTATGCTGCCTTGGAGCCAGCCAATTTTGGACTGAAATCTCTACAGACTGTGAGCTAAATAAACCTTTTCCCTTTAACTTTGGGTGTCAGGTATTTTATCGTAGCAACAAGAGAAAAGTAACTAACACTAGGAAAGCATACCATCTTTGTGTACCCTCACACAGGGAAATAGCAGGCCAATTACTAGGAAGTTCAATTCTAGAATTTTATTTTATGGGTTCAGAATACTAAATTTAATCATTTTAGGATACAAATCTATAAATAACTGTACAATTCTACAGGAAGAAATCTCTATACATTTTTCAAAGTAATATAAAGTACCTCCAAGAATGTTCCCCATAAGCTAGAAAGTGATATACCTACCACAATGGCACCTGACCACACTATACAAATACAGTATGTTCTTAATAAAAATTACCACTTGATTTACATAATTAAAACTAAAAATAATTAAAGATATTGTTTGGTGAGCATGCCTTTTTATAGCCCTTTGGGTGACCAAAGTTGCTTTCACACATTCATGCATTTGACAGGAACTAAAGCTACACATCAGAGATTTATAAAGTAAAACCACTTACGTATTTTACATGGTGCATCATGCTGTACATGCTCAGTAAACCAGATTAAGAATGAATGCATTAGTACATAACGGACAGAACTGATCACAGACGTGTGTGTACATGGGTTAGAACACACATGCACATGTACCTGTCACCATTCTGTTGCTGAGACTACTATAGACAGCTAAGTTAGAAATATTATAGGCAGTCAGACAGGGCTGGGCCCTTGAGAAAGTCAGTGCAGAAGATGAAAACACAATACCCTGCAACTGTAGCAGGAGGCACACCTGTTGAAGACCAGGCCTCAAGATAAAGCTGGAGTGACCAGGCCCACGTGGCTCAACAAATGATAAGCAATATACTATAACTGGTATCATCTGGTCCAATAAGGTCTAGAAAGACCAGTCATCCAGGTGGGTGACCAGAACCTCCTGGCTCATCTCTTCCAAAAAGGGTCCTGCTCTTTCCAAGTCCACTTGCTACATGACTTGCTTCCCCACTGGATCGACACTACCTAAGCTGCTATACTCGTAATTTTATTGGTTGATCATAGTTTTGTCCCACATTATATCCAACTCGTGATTTTGCTCTTTAAAACTTCCTCTATAAAGTAGCGTCTATGACAAGCTACTCAGGTCCTCTCCTACCTCTCAGGAGCTACACCTCTCAATAAATATCTCCTATTCTTAATCTCTGTTGTTCTTTAGAATTCATTCTTTGATTTTGGGAAACATGAACTTGGCATATTTGACATCTAGCAGGTGGGGAGTTATATTATATTCCCCGCATTATTTGAAGGCTCTACACATCAAGACAGCCTAGAAGCAGTGACACCCCAGGGGCAATAACTACTGGTCTTTGAAACCTGCTCCTGATTTCTAAATATCATTCTCCAAAAAAAGAAACCAGAGATGGCTCAGAGACATGGCTGATCCTAGGATTAGAGCAGAAAAAAATTACAAGGTAAACAAAGAGTACAGTATCTTTATATCACCAAATGCAGTAAGAGTTAAATCTGCATTTTAATTCTTAATTGTTCATTAACAGAATTTTTGTTAAGGAAGAAAATATTATTGCTACATCTGAGATTTCCATGTCTGAATAATGACCATTGTCACTTTTATTCCAAAATACGCATTCATTTATATTCCATAACTAAAAAGAACAGAGAAGGGATACATAAAAAAGCAAAAGTGGTTAGAGGTTAGTCACAAAATTAAATCATACCGTGTGAGTTTCAAGCTTTTTACCAGTTCATCTAACAGGCGGTTATTTTTCAGGTCTGGCTCTGTGACTGGCTAGAAAAGAAAAACAGCAGATGGTAGAAGGTCACAAACAATAATTAACTTGTCATAATCTTGTTTTTGAAAAATGCCTGGCCCATTCTCTTGAGACTCTCCATACCACTAGGTCTTCCAGGAAAGCCTCAAGATAAAGTTCATTTATCTCATACTAACATGGAATATTAAAAGCACCCGCTAACTGGAAGTCTGATTAAGAACTCTCAAAACCATGTGTCCACTAAGATAAAACCTAATATGAGCAAAAATTTCTTCAAAATGCCAGTACTCAGCTTTCCCAAAAATTCCTCTTGCAGGGATAAGACAGATACTATTTTCAGTAAAAAACTAGGAGAGCCACAAAGTTTTCAAAGAGAGTTTTAAAATATGATTGGTCTCTAAGAATGCAAGAGTAAAACACTGGACCCAGCACTTATTTAGCACAAATGTTACACTTTCTGTGATGAGGCCATCTTGGCAAAGACAAGCTGCACAGAGGTAGAAAGTTTGGACCTGGGAGCCAAACAGCACCGCTTGCTGCACAGCACAAAATTCAGACCAGTTCAGTGACACCCTGACGTAATGAATTTAGCAGAGAGTTAAACCTTTATCTATCTAGTTTGGGTGTCATTCCTTTTAGACCTACTGTCTCTTTCTTTATTCTCACTTATGTACTTACCTACCTTTCTACCTGTTCTCACTACAGTACTTGAAAAGTCTTAAAACTCTTAACAAATGCCCTAGTGTTTTCCCTGGTTTGAGAAAGACGCATAGGACCAGTTAGGTTTAAGCCCAATGGCCATAAATCTTTTCCTTCTGTATAAATACTTACACTAGCCCTTTGGAAATGAATAACCCACCAGCAGTTCCCACCAAAAGTGAAAAATTATTTTTAAAAAAAAACATAAAAAAATACTTCATACACTCGTTTTTACTTCCTAACATACATTTAGTTTATCAGAAAGCATAATGAGAAATTAAACAAGGCCTAATTCTTCTTACATGTACTTTAGAGGCCCTTTCTGGAAATGTCTTTTATTTAGTTTAATTCAGTGACTATTCATCATCCCATGTGCTTTTGAGTGTGCATGAAGCAGACATATTTGCCTAAATTAATAAAAAAAGGAAATAAAAACTCACCACACAACAAGTTGGACACTGAGTCTTATATGACAGAAATTTTCTTATACAGAGAGAACAATCTGCAAAACACAAAATGCAACATAAGCTATATTAATAATGAAGGAATCTGACTTCTGACAAAATCTGACTTAAATCCTAGAAAATTTCCCTAATCTAAGGTAGATCATTATAATCTTAAATTTCTAGTACCTCTGATCTACACACATTGACATATGTAATTAAATGGCATTTTTAGGAAAGAGAAATTACATCAAATATAATGAGTTCCTAGGATACAACTCCATAAGCAACATGCATCACTGTCTTTCTATTTACAAGCCACAGGAACACACACACAAGACCTGGGCTGGGTACTGTATAAACATCCCAGATAGCTCTACTGACTGTGAGGAGAAAATAAAATTTTGAAAAAAAAAAAAAGACACATATGTTAAGTAATAAACCATACTAAAGTTACCAAATAAGCAATTTCTACATCGTAATTCAGTAGGTGAGGTGCATTATCTCACACTTAACAAGGAAGTGTGTGGTATGCACTAAGAACAGAATAAAGGGAAGGACCCTTACCTCAAGGAGCTAGACAACCAGTGAGGCACAGTACAATTCAATGCAGTAAGTTGTGGTGCACTAATGGGCAACTTGGAATGCCCAGCTGAACTGAATCAGTGTGGCCGAGTGCGCAAGACCCCCTAAGGATTGTTGCCAACGGCATGAAAAGAGAACTGGAGGGGAAGACGGTGGCTGTTGATTTTCTAGGAGAGAGCTATTAAAATCATAATCCTTGCTTTCCATTAACATCAACAACAGGTGCAGCAACACTAAAAGATGTCCCAAGGGATCTCCCACATTCCAAATACACTCTTCCCTTCTGGTAAAAGACTTTAGGTCATTCTTCCATTGTCCTGTTCTTTTTCAACAACGACGTTATCCTCTTTTCATCCTTGTAATCCATACCTCCACTGGAGCGTCCCCTCTGGCCAAACACTTCAAATCACCCTGCTGTGTCTCTGCTTTTAATTTCCAACATAGATCCAGCCAAAAGCCCCTAACAGTAATCATGCCACCATCCCGACAACATACTGCATTGAAATTTTTCTGCCACCCATGCAATGTTTCTAAACACAAAATGCAGACCAACTTCCTGACAAAGCATGACAGACCCTGCCTGGGATCCAGCAGTCAATGCAGTCTTCAGTCAACAGAAGCCTCCTGAGCCTCATCCTAATGATGGGTGATGGCAGCACTTCCAACAGTCCTCTGATTTTCCAGAGTCTCCCATACAGTTTAGAGTGTATCAGGGCTACCCCTTTGGTAGGTCTCTCAAAACTTTTGAAAATTGATTCCCAATGCTTTTAAGTTTAAGCCGGTACCAATTTTGTTGCACTCAGGGTTTGCAAGTGTAGGACCCCAACCGCTGCGTAGGCCCTAGAGAGTCTGCATATAACAAAGTACATTCCATTCTACTCCGCCCCCTCCTATCTACAGATAAGATTAGAGGAAGTGTATGTAAACTTGGTATGCGTCAACAAAGGTAATGTCTTAGGACTTTGATCAAGACAGGGCATCCTGAGTCTGGGGTGACCAACGCAGGATGCCAGACATGTCATAAACCAGACCCCCTAAGGGATAGCAGGAAACTGACCCCCTGCCCCCCTTACTGTGTTTACAATCCTCTCCACTAGTCTTCACAAAGCTACTCCATGCTAATAGGCCAGACTGTGCTTCTTCATATGCTAATTGCTACCTTGGTTAACAGCCCGCCTAGGGGCAAATGGTTTGACAAAAGGTGACCCTAGAACATTTCCTGCATAAGATAAGCAATGTGTTTGCAGTCTTGTTCTGTGAATTCCCTGACTCTTTGTTTAGAAAAACCTTATAAAAAGTAC